GTGGTGGGGGGGGGGGGGGGGGGGGGGGGGGGGGGGTCATCCGTGAGCCCTCTAGCTTAGCCTCATTCCTTGGAACCCCTATCCTGAATTCATCTGCTCTGGTAGCTCCATTCTCCACCTGGCATCTTCTGTTCCTCTTCCATCACCCCCTCATCACAGCCTGCCCTCCCCAGCTGCTTCCTCCTTTCCATTCATTCCACAATGTGCTCCATTAATCCTCCAAGGATCCCGACTAGGAATTTAGGTTTTAGGACAAGAACGACCTGTGTTGAGTCTTCGCTTCCCTGAGCTGCTTTGTTAACTTTAGCAGCACTACGGAATGCCCACAGCACTACCTGCCAGGGTGGCTGTGACAACTAAAGGAGATAATGAATACCAGACGCTTAGCAGGCGCCGGCCGCATACACTTGGGCTTTAATCATATCCTAAACTGCTTCAGAACCTTGCTGACTCCCCACACGGTAGCTCCACAAAGACCGGCTCCTTAGCTAGGTTCCCAGTTTCCACAGGCGAAGGCTGGCCACTGACATCCAAAGCACCCAGGTTCTGCCAATGGCCCACCGGCCATCCTGGTGCCATTGGGCACACATTTGACTCCAGGCAAGGAAACTGCTGGCCATTTCCCTACCACCCTGGGCCCCCAGCTTCTCACCCTTCAAAACGCGTGCTGACCACACCAGCAGTCTTGAGGCACCAAAGTCATTAGCCCCTCCCCGGAGTGTCCCAATTATCCCACTGTTTTAGAACCATGGGAGAGAAGAGCAGAGAAGACCAAGGAGGGAGGTTCCAACGTCAGATTTTTCGGCATTCCCCAGTGAACAAGCACTCTAGTCCAGAAGTCTTGCTAACTCCAAGGGTCACATGGAGACACTGGTCTGTGTCTGAAGGTCCTGTTCCTCTTTTCTGAAGTGGCCAGGATATGCGCGGCCCGGGGGGCATAAGGGCAGCGAGGGGGAGCACGCAGACGTCGCTGCTTCCAGCCGGAAAGATGGGGCTCCCGCATGTCCGGACTCGCAGGGAGCGTTATGGGCCTCTCTGCCTCCAGATCCGGTGTTGGAGGAAGGGCTTGGCCAGGCCCGAGTTTGCAGCAAGTCCTCTCTGGCCAGCTCCCTGCGAACACGCGCTGCTCGAGAGCGACCCTGGGTCTTTTCCGCCTTCGAGGTCTCAGAGGCTTTTGTCCCCAAGTCTGGAGTCTGGGTGGAGAGGGGGAACGTCTGGTTCAGGCGCCCTCTCCCGGGTAGGGGTCCGCGTGCGCCCTGCCCAACCTGCTCCCTGCAGGGGCACCCGCCCCTCTCCCC